AAAAAAAAAAAAAAAAAAAAGTGATTGGGTACACTGGCCTGTCATAAAAAGGTGCTGTCACTACTTGTGGCTACTTCAGTAGTTAGTGATTTTTAGGAAATACCTATCTATGGATAATACAAACATAAGGAAGTAGTCCATGTAACATTAACCAAAGGCTTGAATATACTTACAGGGTGTATGGCTGGAGAAAAACACAAAAATGAGGTCTGGTCTGAGTTTCCACAGTCCTTTTTGAGTTCCTGGGACAAAGATACTATCCTCTTTCAGGGTGGCTGCCAACTGGAGTTGATGGAGAAGATACCTAAGAGTTGCAAGATGTAATTAGGATGAACAAACAATCTCCGTGGTAAAGAGAAAGCCTCTGGTTGGGTGATTACTAAGACAGCATTACTGATTAATGTAGACTAATGGGACTAGTAGGGATTGGGAATTATGAGAATGCTCTAGACCAGTGATTCTCAAAGTGTGGTCCCTGCACCAGCAGCATCCGCATCACCTCGGAATTTGTTAGCCCTCCAATTTGAACTGGCCTCAGTGGCTCCTATCTGTAACCCTATCTGTAACCTCCTATCTGTATTTGGGAGACTGAGGCAGGAGGACTGCTTGAACCCAGGAGTTTGAGACTGTAGTGAGCTATGATTGTGCCACTGTACTTCAGCTTGCGCTACAGAGATAGACCCTATTTTTTTGTTAAAAAAAAAAAAAACACACAAATGAAGAAACCCAGTTTCTCAGGTTCAACCCTAGATGTGCTGAATCAGAATCTCTGTAGTGGGCTCAGCAATCCAGGTTTTAACAAGCCCTCCAGGTTCTTCTGATGCATAACAAGTTTGAGAACCACTAGTCCAGGGCACATGGCTCACACCTGTAATTGAGGAGGCCAAAGCAGGAGGATCCCTTGAGCCCAGGAATTCAAGACCAGTGTGGGTAGCATAGTGAGACCCTGTCTCCAAAATAAAAAACAGAAAAAGTTAGCTGGGTGTGGTGGTGTGTACCTGTAACCCCAGCTACTCAGGAGGCTGAGGTGGGAGGCTTGCTTGAGCCCCAGGAAGCCAAGGCTGCAATAAGCTGAGATCACATAACTGCACTCTAGCCTAGGTGACAGAGCAAGACCCTGTCTCAAGGAAAAAAAGAGAGAACCACTAGCTTAGACCACACTGCTACTAAAAGTGTAGTTTACAGACTGATACAATCTCTATTTGGGAGCTTATTAGAAATATAAATTCTGGGGCTCCCATCCCAGCCCTGAACCATACTCTCTGGGGATGTGGATTTACCTTTGGAAACTCCGTCTGGCTATGACCTCAGCATGGCTATCATTGAGGATGTCTCCTGTGACAAAGATAGGACACCAAGTGAAGACATATGGAAGCTGGAGAGGCTCTGGTTCCTAGAAGCAGAACACAGCAGTCCTACCAGCACCCAGGATGGTCATGTAGCACCTGGAAAGTTTTGCCAGAAGGTACCAAAATCATGAATAACAATGCATTTACTGCAGGGTTTCTCAACCCAGCACTGTAGACATTTTGGGCCAGAAAATTCTTTGCTGTGGGGGGTCTAACCCATACCTTGTAGACTATTTACTAGAAGTATTCCTGACCTCTACCCATGAGATGCCACTAGCACCCCTCCCCGATTTGTCACAACTAAAAATGTCTCCAGACATTGCCAAATGTCCTCTGGGGTACAAATCACCCCCAGTTGAGAATCACTAATTTATAGAAAAACGTTATTTGGAGAACAGGGGTCCAGATCTTTTGTACAGAGGTATCATACTTGTGCTCATGGTGATACAATTCCATCTATTCTAATCCATAGTGGTCCTGGAAAAGCTTCCTCATATACAGGAGGTTAAGGCAAGGAGAATGGTGGAAGCCAATTCAAAGAGAAACCTGCTAGCTAGAAGAAGAGGTAAAGATCCCGAATTTTGGCCAGGCACGCAGTGGCTCATGCCTGTAATCCCAGCACTTTGGGAGGCCAAGGCGGGAGGATAGCTTGAGGTTAAGAGTTTGAGACCAGCCTGGGCAACATAGTGAGATTGTCTCTATAAAATAAAAATGAAAAAAATGAATTGGGCATAGTGGTGCATACCTGTAGTCTAGCTACTCAGGAGGCTGAAGCGAGAGGATCACTTGAGCCCAGGAGTTCAAGGCTACAGGGAGCTATGATAGTGCCACTGTACTCCAGTGAGACCCTGTCTCTTAAAAAAAACCAACCAACAAACAAAAAAACTCCAGATCTCTAAGGAATTTTCACATTCTTGGTGAGGCCCAAAGCTTTCTGTAATTCAAGATTGCTGGCCGGGTCCGGTGGCTCACGCCTGTAATCCCAGCACTTAGGGAGGCTGAGGCGAGGGGATTACCTGAGGTCAGGAGTACAAGACCAGCCTGGCCAACATGATGAAACCCCATCTCTACAAAAATACAAAAATTAGCCAGGCATGATGGTGGATGCCTGTAATTCCAGTTGCTTGGGAGTCTGAGGCAGGAGAATGGCTTAAACCTGGTAAGAGAAGGTTGGAGTGAGCTGAGATTGAGCCATCTGCACTCCAGCCTAGGCGACAGAACAAGACACTATCTCAAAAAAAAAAAAAAAAAAATGACTGCTTTCTGGGGCTTCAGCAGCCACTACCTGCTATAGAGCCTCAAAGCCTTCCACACCTAATGTGGAATAGCTAAGCCTAAGGAATCTGTGGTTTGAGCATGAAAATACTGGCTAGCTTTCAGTTATTCAGAAAGCAGGCTTCTAGAGAGGCCTCTGCTTTGATGGTGGATTTCCATTCCTGAAGCGAGCACTGTCTTTCCAACTGGACTGACAGTCAGTAGGAAACAATGCCATGCACCTCAACTGATACGGCCCCTCCTTCCCTGACAAGGAGGGTAAAACATGGACACTGGTTTCCAAAGCTAAATCTTACTCCCACCCGTGCTTACCGCTCTTCCTCATTTTGGACTGGCCTATGCATTTTGTTCCTGTTCCCATTGAGACAACTTCCTTTGTCACTGTGGGGAAAAAACAAATCGTGTGAGTTCTGAGAAACGGAATGTTCCCCAGTGCTAAGGTGTAATCAGTCTGCACACTCCTCCAGGGGATTCCCAGGGGCCCACTCAACCAAGGGCTGCCGCTCCAGCACGGCAGTCTCCGCCATCAGAGATACTGCGCCACCTAGTGGAGGACAAGCACACACACCTAACACTGTACGTAGTTCACACCCCACTCACAACTGTCGCTGCACAGTACAGCAATGTGTAACTTTACCATCTCCGACAGTGAGGAGCGTTCCAAGGAGAAAATGTCTCACCTTGCACCGGCTTATCATGGGTGTCGCTGGCCTCGTCAGCTGGAGATTGTATCTTCACCACGGCTGCCAATAACGTCCATTCGTGGTTTGGCTCAGGTTTCCCCTTCTTGGGCAGCCTGCTCCCATAGTGCTCATAGCACAGCTGAGCAATCTCATCTGCGGTCCACATGGTCTGAGCTGGTGCTAAGACCCTGATCAAAAACCACAATCATTAGAAGTGCAGAAAGGAGAATCAGTGCATGATGCTACAGCCTCACAGCCATGCTTCAAGTCTTTCAAATATAGCCCAACTGTAGTCAGACCATTGCTTCTCTATCCGGAACTCAATGGATCATTTTCTCCTACTGTGTCCCTGCCCCTTTTCATCTTTAATGAAAGATCAAAGAACCCCAAATTCTACCAATTCCCCAAATTATTCTATTTCTTCAAGTTTTTCTTTTTTAATGTTAGATATCTGACACATTTCTAATGAGTATGCATCCTCTACTCGACATTAAAGGACATGAGTGGGAATTGTCCTCACTACTCCAATTTTTTCTTAAATTAATTTACTAATTTTCTACTCACCAGCTGCTAAAGTATTTCTAACTACTCCAATTTTCATTGGAAACAGCACACGAAGGGTTGCAGACTCACTTGTTTTGGGCAGACCCTCACTGCATAAGTTTTACCTTTCTGGATACATGTTCTTATCTGTTCTCTTCTTTCCCTTACTGCAGAGTGGTTCTCTACCGCCCTCTAGTAACTCCTTATGAGATGTTTCTCAGCAGCTAAGTGTTCTCACAGAGCTGTACTTAAGGGTGTGTGTGTGCTTTGGATTCACCCTTTCTGGGTTCTAATTTTGGCTTTGCCACAAATGATGCTGAATAGACTACTTAACCTTGCTGTGTCTGTTTCCTCATCTGTCAAAATAGGGATAATAACAGTATCTAACTTATTTAGACTATTAAAAAGCAATTGCTATAATGTTGAGGATAGTTAAGGTCAACCATGATTACTATTGTAAGAAATAACATTTGATGATTTTCCTGGTTAATTTGCCTTGAGCTACTTGGTGGTGGGGGTGCAAGGGGGAGGGCTGTAATGGGCATAAGAGGCCATGAAGAAAAAAAATCATCAAGCAGATTCCTAGGATACTTTGCTGGGAAATGTCTCACTCTTGGCTCTATCAGTGCTCACTAGGTACATCCTGACCCCATTTGGACTCAATTATACAAAAAGCTTCTTAGTAGACGATGAGCTTGTATGGTGATAGGCATTGCTAAGCATTGTAAAACAAAACTGAAGGCTGGGCGCGGTGGCTCAAGTCGGTACTTTGAGAGGGAGGCTGAGGCAGGTGGATTACCTGAGGTCAGGAGTTCGCAATCAGTCTGCCCAACGTGGTGAAACACTGTTTCTACTGAAAATGCAAAAATTAGCAGGGCATGGCAGCGCATGCCTGTAGTCCCAGCTACTCAGGAGGCCGAGACAGGAGAATCACTTGAACCTGGGAGGTGGAGGTTCCAGTGAGCCAAGATTGTGCCACTGCACTTCGGCCTGAGTGACAGAGTGAGACTGTCTCTCTCACTCACACACACACACACACACGAAAAAACAAAAAACTGGAAACGAAAAAGGCTTTCCTGAGTCGCAGTGCATGTTGCTTTTGAAAGATGTATTGCTGGCCACACGCCATGGCTCATGCCTGTAATCCCAGCACTTTGGGAGGCCGAGGCGGGCAGATCACCTGAGGTTGGGAGTTCAAGACCAGCCTGGCCAACATGTCGAAACCCCGTCTCTACTAAAAAAATCCAAAAATTTAGCCTGGCATGGTGGTGTGCCTATAATCCCAGCTGCTTGGGAGGCTGAGGCAAGAGAATCGCTTGAATCATCGAGTTGGAGGTTGCAGTGAGCTAAGATTGTGCCACTGCACTCCAGCCTGGGTGACAGAGCGGGACTCTGTCTTAAAAAAAAAAAAAAAAAAAAAAAAAAAAAAAAAA